GGGTTACCGCGGAGTTGGCGGCAGAGATTGAAGTGGTCAGGCTCAGCGGTGCTCTCACGAATGCCGTGTATGTAGTTGGACCGCCGAAGAATCTGCCTCACCCAAAGACCGATAGCAACAGTATGGTCTCAAGGAAGCCCCCGCCGTAAGTGACGAATTGCCGTCCCCACTTTGGAGATGTATCTAACTGGATTTACAGGAAGCTTCTCTTGCGTATCTACGGTCCTCAGGTAGAACATTTAATCGACAGAGAGAATGAGTTGCAAATTCTTCGTCGCCTCGGAAAGAAGAATATTGGCCCACGCATTCTCGGAACTTTCGTGAATGGCCGTTTCGAAGAGTACTTTGAGGCTCGCCCACTCACTCCCAAGGAGTTGCGGATGCCCGAAACAGCGAGGCAGGTTGCCAAGCGGATGAGAGAATTGCACGATGGCGTTGAACTTCTTGAAGAAGAACGTGAAGGTGGACCTATGATCTTCAAGAACTGGGATAAATGGGTGGACCGTTGCGAGCAAGTGACGACCTGGTTGGATAAAGAAATCCAATCCCCTCAAAATGAGGCCAAAGCTGCACTGGAGCCATGGCGGCGCCGTGGCTATGTCTGCGGCGTAACGTGGGATGTGTTCCGCAAAGCCGTAGATAACTACCGGCGTTGGCTGGTTGCCAGCTCTGGTGGAACTGCCGAGATCAAGCGACAGCTAGTGTTTGCGCACAATGATGTAAGTTTCAATCTCTTGCACCTTAATATGTTATTGACGTGTTGTCTAGACTCAATATGGCAATCTACTTCGCATGGAGCCGGCCACAGAGTCACCGCTGCTTCTGCCTGCAAATGAACACAAACAGCTGATCGTCATCGACTTTGAGTACTCTTCTGCCAATACACGTGGACTCGAGTTCGCCAACCACTTTGTAAGTCAAATAACCCAATGGCTAATCCAAATGGATACTAACTACAACAGACTGAATGGTGTTACAACTACCACGACGATGAGCGCTCATGGGCCTGCAATAACCGCAACTACCCGACTTCAGAGCAGCAGTACCATTTCGTGTCAACATACCTTACCCACCGACCTTCCAGCACGGGCGGACCTATTTCACCCCTGGCCTCGCCGACCATTAATGCTCGCGCTCCTGTTGCGGTTGCGCCATTGGACTTGGACGAGGTGTCTGATAGACCCAGCTCTCGGCTTTCGCAAAACGAGCAGTCTAAAGAGAATGAACTTGACGCTGAGGTACGATTCCTCATGCAGCAGACCCGGATGTGGCGGGCGATGAACTCCGCGCAGTGGGTAGCTTGGGGTATCGTCCAGGCCAAGGTGCCTGGAATGGAAGAAGGTATTGCTGAGATGCTTGCTGCTCGCAACGGGCCAAGCGAAAACGGCAATGGCGACGACACTAAGACGCCGCCTGTGGATGCAGAGATCGAAGAAGACGATGGTGACTTTGACTACCTGGCTTACGCGCAGGACCGAGTCATGTTCTTCTGGGGCGATCTACTGTCGCTGAATCTCATCAAGCCAGAGGAATTGCCGGTGCCTCTATTGGAGCACATCAAGTCGCGGCTTGTCGCATACTAAGAATTCTAGGAGAAATAACGATAATCTTCAGGACGGAGACTTGTTCATACATATCGTCATGATTTACAACGTGGATGCTAGTACATAGCCCTGTGTCGGATCGGTGATTTATCACACCTACATGTATCTACTACACTATAGCGCTGGGGTTTCAACATCATCATCGAATACCAATCTCGTTTTATTTCATTTCAATCATCCTAAACGTCTCACAAAGGGTATCTGAAATGACATTGTAGAAAAATCAGCCGACGCCCAACCTTCTAGCGACCCATCTCGAGCTTCTTCCTCGTCTCCCTCTTTGCACCCTCAACCCACTCCTCATAAGCCTTCCCCTCAGGGTCCTTCTCCTTAACCCCAGCAACCCCCTTCATGACCTCCCCGATGAACCCAACAAAATTACACCGTCTAAGCGTATTCTCCCACTGCCACGCCGCCCTCTTCCTCTCCTCCCTCTCAAGCGTCTCCACATCCCCAATCTCCCTCGCCCTCCCCCTGGGATCCTTCACAACAGCCATAAGATTGAAATGCGTCTCCTCAGGCGGGTACCGCGCAATACGCCTCTGCAGAACCTCAATAACCTTCTCGGGAAACTCCCCAGTCCCACACGAGCCATGGCTAATAGGATACGGCTGCAGTCCATCAAGCTCGTACAGCGTCCCATTGACAGGCGTATACGCAATGAAGTGGTAAACATCCGCGCCCTTCTCATCATCCTGCGGCCGCGCCGTCTCATCAGCGAACGGACTCGCCCGCGCAAAGCTATTGTGCGCGCTGCGGATCGCTTCCGAGTTCGAGAGCGCTTCGCCGCGCAGTTCCGGCGGGAACCCTGTCGTGAAGTCTTTGAAGGAGCGTAGCTCTTCGCCGAGCTCGATTGCTGGCTGTGGCGCGGGCGGGTTGTCGTGGTTGAGGATTACGGAGAGGATGGCTTGTGTGCCGCAGGCGTTTTGGATTGTCTGGGCGGCGAAGAAGAGGTTGTCTCCGGCGGTTTGGTCGTAGGTTCCGTCGAGGGGGGCTTCGGCGCGTGCGCCGGCGGCTTCGCGGGTCCATTTGAAGAGGAAGATTACGCCGTAGACTGGGCTATTTGGGAGGGTTGGGGTTAGCTTTGGTTTTGGGGTATTTTCTCTGGGGGGTTGGGATGTGGTTGAACTGCAGAGTTTGGGATGTCTTGTTGCTTACCCTAGCGACCGTATTGTATCTGCATCTAGGGAAATGAGCTCTTCGAATTGGGTGTCTTTTACTCCGAGTGTCTCGATCAGAGATGTGAAGAGACCCTGGGTCGTGTCAGTATGCTGCTTGGATAAATCATGGGGGCGATGGTACCTCATCTGACTCGATGGTGCTCCAGCCACCGACATCAGCCATTTTGGCTGTCTGTGATGGATGCTGAGGGTGATTGAATGAAAGATGTTGTGTTGTCGGTATCGGGGTTGCTTTCCTTCCCCAAAAGGGAATGCGGTTATGTCATTGTCACGTGAAGCTGTATTGATAGCCTCAAGTCACGTGCGTCTCCACTATAAAGTAGAGAAGGTCGCTTTAAAATGTTAAGGGCAGCATGCGAGAAGCAATTATAAAACCGTAACCAAATTGGAGCTTAGGGAGAGAGAATGATTTTTGTTTGCGAGTCCCAAGATCTCACTTAGAGCAAAGATGCACCCTGGGTGCGGAAGGCCAGAGAGAGTATACAATGTCCATAGATATCAATAGAAGTGATTAGTTATACTTGTTCCTCAATTTGGAGATAAGAATATAACCCGAGGCCAACTAAATTGACAGAATATCTCAGAAAGGAGAAGAAAAAGTAGGACTAGCAGTAAAGCCTGCTCTGCCGGAGTTGATGAACAGAAAGGAAGCGAAGTGAACAACCGAGCATACCCGACGTTCAAACCAAAAATAGTTCAAAGCAGATCCATACCATCATTACGGAGTAGATGCAATCAAAATCTTCCGATTCCGACTACTCCTACATACAGACTAAGTGGCATTGACCATCTGTTAGTGCAAGGACCAAGAAGAGTGCTATTGAAGACGCGAATATTCAATTCAATATTCCCAATCTCCACCGACAACAGTGTTACCCGCAAGATAGTATATAAGGAAGAGCTCTAAATTTTGGTATGCGAAAAGCTGAAGAAAAAGATAAATATAGAAAACACGAGGGGTGACGATCGCTAACTTAATTTCCGCGCGGCGAAGATCTATAACCGCAATGGTAGTCATAATGCGAAGGGAAGATAATAATAACATTTCAACAACCCAATACATTCCAACAAAACCCAAAATCCAAGCAAGGAAAGGTAAATCAAAGAAACCCATCTACCAAAAATAGACGACACTCGGTACATAGGGCTGCAGCCCCTGCATAACGACGATATCATACCACGTTGTAGATGCATGAAGAATACGGAGTCCCACCGAAGTAAGAATTGACCTCGGATCCCGACACACGCTAGCCCCCAACCACCTTAGAATGCTTATACTCACATTCGATATACGAATCGCCAAATCGTCAGCGGAACCAAATCGGTGCTAGCTCGGGGATTTGGTACCGCATTGGGACAGGTGTAGGGAAGCCAAGCGGGCGGCCGAATACGAGGTCTGGAGAAATGTGGCCGGTGGGGGTACCAATCAGAGGAATGGATCTGTAGTCTAAATTCCCTTAATATGTGTCCCGTGCTCTTGGGTTGCTTCATCTTGTCTATTCTTAGGATGGGTCTATGACGATCGTTACCAGGAGCTACTTTTGGGGGCTGGATGGTACCTGTCGATCGGTGTGCATGAGGTGCAGGTGCATTCTTCGGTTATGGAGAGTGTGGGAGGGGTTGCTATCTTTAGATATGGGGACATTACGAGGTGAATAACGATCTTTCGTTCATTGACGGGGTTTGAGGTCTGCGTTCGAGATCGTTGGATGGCTAGTTCCGAATGACGAATAGACGCATTACTCAACGCACATAGAGACACTTAAAAGTCAGATAAACAGAATATTTGATAAAACCAGGGTATATATAATATCAATATCAAAACATCAGTTTGAGTCGGTTCCCTCCAGCTTGCAACTGCAACCGAGTATAAAATCCAAACCGAACGAAAAGTAGACACAAGACCACACGTCAACGCTCATGCTCAGCACAAACAACTTGAAGGTCCGAATATAGAAGAAAAGAGTCGAGTGGTGAAAACGAAACACTCGCGTATAACGATCAAAAAAGGACATGTTCTCCAGGTCCCATTCCCAGTAGAACATAACTCCGTAGCCTTCAAATTTTCCAAAAAAGGGAGAAAGATCCAATTCCCTCCTGATACCCAATAGCCAGAATGCGACTGACCAACCCTGCTCAGGATGGTAGTCTAAAGATTTCCATGTTTTGTCGACTTTTGTTTCTTTTCCTGGTATAAACCCAGCAAGCCTGAAAATCAAGTCCAAAGTGAAGTGGGGGCAGCCAAGCCCGGCATTTCATACGGATGTGTCTGTGGATAGACCTCCATATTCAGACCGAGTGTGCCATCCTCGCGCGGCAAACCGGCGCACATGACATCACCACCATACGGCGGGGTGTAAGCCGCTGAATGAGGAATGGAAGTATGAGAATTGGTATGGCCACCCAGATCCGACAGACCGAGGTGCACGTCGTGGTTATCGAGGAGCTGCGGGGAGGGTGGATATAGGGAATGCGAGGTTGTGGCGGAGGCATAGCCATCTTGGATGGGGAAGCCGGAGTTGGCAATAGTGACGGCAGGAGGAGAATGCAAGGGCGGGGTATAAGCAGCGTAAGTCGAGGCAGAAGCAGGCGAGGAGGATGCGACGAGCGGGTACTCGTGCATATTGTGGTGGAAAGGGCTGGGTGGGCCGGGGGAGTAGTGGTCGACTGATGAGCGGGGGGACCAGGGAAGGGTGAGGCGGCTGCGATATCGGGCGACGATGCTGCGGGGCAGGTCCATGAGTTCCAATGGTAGACGCAGGTCGGTGTTGAAGGGGTCTGCGGCGTTGTGGGTGGCTATTATGCGGTAGATCTCTTCGATAGGACTGATGAATAGGGCGCCCAGGTATGCGCCGCCTAACTCTGGGAAGAAGCGGTCGAGAGCGATGCCGACAGCGAAGAATTGGGCTAGGACTGGGAGGGCGCTGATATCTGATTCGCTGCTTCGGAGCATGGATGGTGGGAGCCAAAAGAGCCAGCGCCGGAGGGTTTGGATGCTTTCGAAGGATTGTTCGGTTGTTTGGTTGGGGAAGTCATTACGGAACTGCTGGGTGAATTCGATGAGTTCTCCCAGGCGTTGAGAGTGTTCAACGTTGTGGGAAATGCGCTTCTGTGTCATTCGTAGGGCCTGGATCGTTTGGTCCAGATGTACCATGTCTTCGTCGAGAGGTTGATAGACTCCGGCCATTGAAAGCTCCGTCGTGCTCAGTGCTCGTTGGTTTTCTATCAGCTGTGCAATATCTGACTCTTGCTTCCAATATGGATGCATGGATTCAAGGACGCTGGAGATGCCGTGTTGCAAAGATGCCCAACTTTGACTGTTCTGGTGTCAGTTGGGGGGGATTTCTAGGGAGCTGGTCTATAGAACTCACTGGTCTGTCGCCTGCCATGATAAAAGAATAGAAGCCGCGAGAATAGCATCGCAGTTCTCCTTCGAGAAGGACCCCAGAGCCGTCTGCAGACCCTGGAGAGCCGTGACTTTATGACGGAAAGCCAACTGCTTAGTCTCCTGATCTCGCGTAAGGAAAGCAAGATGAAACGCCGAAAAGCTCAAGATAGAGCTCATAACGAAGTCGCTGCCCAGCGAAATAGCCAGGAAACTAGAGAATGCCACCCGTCAGCAAAGATCATCAACACTAGCAAATCTAAAGAGTACTCACTTGGGCATCTTCTGCGCCCACACAGTGCAACCACTTAACCCTCGACGATGCAAGTCAATAGAAAGCCCAATGATATGGTGAATCAAGCGCAAATCAGTCCGTGACAAGCCAGACCACCCAGATCGTGGGCACTGCAAGAGCTCCGGATATGGAGGCACACCAGTGCGATGCCAATTATCTATTTCCATTTCGATCTCTGGCGAAATGAGGAGGTCAGGGCCCCGGCGTGGTGGCGGGGGACTACCAACTTGAGTGGCAGCCGTGTCCTGATAGTCACAGCGGCAGTTGTGCTTTGTGCAATTGCGGCTAGATGGAATTAGTATGTGTATACTGGTGTAGATTGAAGGAATATACCATTGCGGGAAGGTCTCATCGCATCGAATATGTCTTCTCTTGCATGTTTTGCAACCGTTACGGGATTTGGTGTGGCTCTTGCGTGGTGGACCGCCGCCTGGACCGACCATTTTGAAGGAGAGATAAGGACTGGAGTCGAGGACTCCACGAATGTTCCAAGGTTGTGAGAGAGTTGATGATGGGCACGTATGCCCTGTAGTTATAGAGAGATGAGGGAAGCTCTAGTCCAATCTCCAAAAATAACTTTGGGGGCCGTTGAGATTCGAAGAATAAGTTGAATTAAGCACGTGGAGAATACGAGCCCAGCTCTGGAGATCTTAAAGTGAAGACTAAGAGAAGAGTGAAGGGGAAGTAGAGGAGTATGTAGAAAGGAAATACTATAACGGTTGAAAGTCAGCAAGATATGATCTGACCCGTGGACTTAAATTTTACTTTCTCTTTCCTAATATTATTATTTCTAGTTCTTTTTTTCATTTCCCAGTAACGATCGAGATTTTGAGCCTCTGGGTACTCCGTACAGGGGGGGCAGTAAGCCAAGAAAAAAGTAAAAAACAGATAAAATAAAATAAAATAAAATATACAAAGAAATAGGTCAAAAATACCTAACAGAAATACCTAAGAGAATGTGAGAATAAGTAAAGAAAAGAAGAAAAGAAAAGAAAATACCCAAAAGAGACGGTCTAATATAGCACTCGCTCATTTCGGGTGAACCACATGGATAGCTTATATAGCTTCCTTCATAGGCTAGCCCGTTCCACTAACATGTGAGCCCATGTTTTTTTTAGCAGGGATAGATTCGATACTGCATATTGCATTGTTCCATGTGGGAATTATTTTCTTTTTTAATATCTGAACTAGATTGTTGGTAAGAATCTAACCCTTAAGATCCCATTCCATTTCTCCGGAGTACAGAGATCCTATTGCTTTAATAGGAGATGATTACCACAAGCCTAGCAAAAGGAAGAGGGTTCACGGGTGAATTCAAGTTGATTCATGCGTTCATCATTTTCTTTTTGCTTTTTTTTTGCTTTTTTCTTTTCCTAAATCTCATCCTGCGTTCCAAAGAACATAGTTCCAGCCAAGAATATGTTATGTATGTACGAAGGGGCCTGTGAACAGACCCCAGACTTCGACAATGATAGAATATAGAACAATAATAGAGGAAAATATAGTAACCGATCGACCCTGTTGCCTCGCAAGGCTCTCGATCTAGGAGGACCCTGGATTGTGGGTCGCTGTCAAGGGACACCGTTAACCCCGTTGGGAAAAGAAAAAGAGGAGTCAATACTTGCGCTATCCTAGACGCCCTAGACGTATTGGGAGTGGCTCTTCCACTCTTCCACTCTCCCACTCTCGCTAAGATTCAAGCTTAGCCTGACAGGCGGAAGTCGCCCGTTTCTACCCGCCTGTGAGTCAGATGGGAGATTAAACGGATTTGGTAATCGCAACCGAATATAGAACAGGCAAAACAGTCGACTGTATAGGTATTGAGAAATGGAAAAATAATGAAACTCATAATCTTACACCACTTGGACCCTGGAGACTGAAGGCAACGTGTGAATGTTTAGTCCGCAACCAAGGGGGTGTAAGACCAATCTCTCGGGATCACCGCATCCACATCTCCATTTATATATTTTTTTTCTCTTTTACGCCCTTATTTTGACACCCTCGAGTGACCGACCTATTGCGATCGTTGCCCCGGGTCGGAACTACCCTACCTCCTTCTCCGGTGAAGTTACCACTGGGCTGGAACGTAGGGAAACCATGTCTGGTAAGCCCGAAGGTGTACGACGTCAATCAGCCCAAAGTGGGAAATGAACCCCTGATGGTCTAGTCTCCAGGTGTACAGGGATTAGATAGACTTGTGAGATGAATATGACCATCAGAGAAAGGGAGAACCAGGGTCATTCGTGGAATGGGCCTCATTCCTGCAGGGTCCAGGGGCTGAGTCCAACACAGAACGGTGGGAATGTTGAAAGCCAAAAGGGCAGTTCGCTTGGAATAGCATCATGCACTCTAGCCCAAACCAGGTAATTTAAGGCCAAGTCAGCATCTGAGTATGTAAATCTACCTCCGAATCTACCTAGGCAAGAGGTAACTCCCCTGAAACTGTAGAAGTGTAACATGCATATTTATGTGACACCGCCAGCTTGGGCCTGTCGACCACGTTTTCTGGGGATCAGACGTGGAACAAGGCGTGCGTTCTAAAGTCGGTGTGTCCCACCTTCTGATCTGGACGGGTCTTCTGTCCTACCATATTCACATACTGCAGTCATGACGATGATTACTCCAAGGGATGATTTAGCTCGCCACACGTGGCACCATAGTCACACAGCGATTATGATTATATCATCATTCTCCCTAATCTCCTATGTTTGACAGGTTTGACGTGGTTTCAGAGACGAATACGCTGCCTTCTCTCAAGGGTTATGACGCTTGGCATCTTGGCATCTCAAGATCCAATGACCCAGGAATGCTATGCGGGTCACCGGAAATGTTCGGGCGACGCTATTTTTCTCCGCAGATGTGAAGGAACACAAAATCTGAAATGTCCAATCAGCAACGATGAGTCTCGCTTGTTCGCAACATCAGGCCAAACGTGGTATAGGTTGGGGGCCAAAAGTCCCGGGTGGATTGCTTTTTGACTCTGATCAACTTTATTATGTATCCTTTTACCTTTTTTCCGATCTAACCTTTTTACGACAGGATATCGCCGGAATTGACGGGAGGTTCTGAGTATTCAATATATAGTTTTACTCGTCTACTTCCGCGGGGTACCCGTACCCTTTCCTATCGAGTTCCAACTTCAAACATACCTAGGTATATCCCCGTGATCTTGAAACTGTGGTAAGCAGATCGGCCCAACCCTGGAATCCAAGTGCCCCAACCAGAAAGAAAATAAGAATCATGGAGCCCCCCAGTTCTCTCCCGCTAACTCAGAAACACAGCCCGTGGAATTGTAGTACGCTAACCAACTCTATTACGCCAAGACTTGGGCTATCCTGGACTTGTGTGGGGACTTTGTGATTTTCTCTTGTAGATCATAGATCAATGAACTACCATCCCGCTGGGCTGGTCGAAGACCCTATTAGGTCATCTGCACGAATACACACCCGTGGACTGTACATATTTGCACAATTACATCTATATTTGAACTGTCTTTCTGCGCCAATATAAAGGACTTTGGATATGTAAGGCTCAGTTTTTAAAGAGCCAGCACACGAAGTTTGACATCTAGATTCAGAAATGGAAAGCCTCTCCTTTAGGAAAGGAGACGTAGCCATGTGAGACAGAGAGATCGACGGCAATCTGGAATCTCCGTACTAGTAAATACCGACCATGGACCAGGTCCTGGAGGTATAGCATCCCAACCAAATAGAGTCCTTAGCGTCAACTCTGTTTCCCAAGCCACCGCCATCCTATCATCTTCGTTATACCCGACTAACGCCCGACACTTGATACGTGGAAATGTGAGGCTGACAGCACTTGTCCGTGCATGAGATCATTATGACCTTCCCCTTGGGTAAAGATCACACACTGTTCTTGACAGACCGCCTAGTAGTCGAGCAAGGAATCTGACATTCCTCGGCATAGCATGCATGGATATGCTGTATACATTCAGCTCCTGCCTCGGGTGTAATAATGAGAAAAAAACATGATGGCAGAGTCAACCCTCCTCCGCGATTCCAAATGGCCACAGTAGGCATCTACACCAGATCGATGTCATTGGAGGCAAGAGGCAACAAATCTGTACTGGACATGCTTCCATATCATGAGCCTTTCTGTTTTCTTCTTCTTCTCTTCTACTTATATATATCACATCGATACTTTCACACTTCTCATTACTTGATTCATCCATACCTCACGAGGTTAAACAACAAGTACTTCTGATCTACTGCACCTGATTATTACTCCATTTCAACACGCCAAGATGGGTTTCCACAGATCATCCAAGGGCATCAATCTCAGAGATAAGCACATCCTCACTGCTTACTGCGAGCGGCCCTCGGGACAATCTAGATATTCAGAGCTGGATCTGAATGAATTTATTGGGGAGAAAAAGGGTAAGGGCAGTCCAAATTCTCCGTTCTGTTCTCGGTGGCGTTTCCCTCGATATCGAGTATACTGCCTAGCACCATGACCGACGTCAGACCCATATTCTGTGCTTCTGTATTTGATCCGAAACTGACATTATCATTCCAATCTAGGGCAACTGGCCTGGGGCTCCCATGACTTCTCGAAAAAATCACGCGACGTTGACTTCAGGTTCGAAGGCCCCGAAAACAATCCCATGCTGCACGCACAGCTCGATGATGGCGAAGGAAACGTCCGAGAGAGCCAGATGAACCTGGCAGAGTGCATCAAAAACGAGGATGGCCATCTGAGCTTCATGGAATGTTTCTAAAGGCAGGATCAGTGTTTCCTGCTTGCTGTCTCATATCTCAAACTGTGATTTAGACAAATAGACCATTGATCCGAGTATTAGTTTCCTATCATTTAAGTGTCCGCCTTCGTAATATCTACAATTCAGTTACCAACAGTCACACACGTGGACAAGTTAACCGAGAATCTTCCGGCTGAGGCTGAAAACAATCTCCACCAAAGCCTATAGCCCCAAACCTACTAAACCCATTTCACCCCTGAGGACATTGTACGAAGTATATTCCATAGCCCGAAGAAAGCCAGTTTGTGAAATAGGCCTATTTAGGGCAAAGCATCAATCACGCCTGGCAACTCGGAGGCCAACAAGAACAAACGGACTGAGTAAAAATCCAATCCACAAGTCCACAATAGCCTCAGTCATCTCGTCTCTGCAGGCCGCAAAAGGCATAGCCGGGTTCTCTAGGGCAAAAGTGAAAAGGGGACCAGCCTCCAATGGCGCACTACGCGAACCAGGCGCCCGGGACGCTACCTGTAGGTACATTGCACCTTGCATCAACGTCTGTCATCAACACATGGCTTTTAATCACAGGGTGAGATAGGGTGGGGTAGAACTTACGATATCGTGCCCGTTCGTGAAAAAGAGTCGTTAAGGGAAAGGCTCGCGTCTTGGTATTTCGGGCGGTTTTTGTCTGAGCGGCCAATCGGTGGAGGGAAGGCGTTGGCTGAGGACTTTGCGCTGCCGAGTTAATTATAACGCGCCAATTAGGCGAGAATCGGGTCTTTCTTGATTGGGTTTATATTACTTCTCTTTCTCTTTCTCTTTTCATTAGGTTATCTTACTATGAAGACTCGTGGGCTTGTGTTTACTAGAGCTTAGAGCTTTGATGGTCTATGTTAGCAGAAAGTCGAATGCGATCCTTTATCCTTCGTGTAGTGTGATATATGTGATATCGATGCATCTAGCTGCTGCTAGGTTATTAATGGCAGGTGACTACAGGGTACTCCGTACTTACCATGCATGCTGTCTGCATCCAAAAATAAGTCTGCAGTTCGGAGATTGCTCGGGCCCTGCTGATCTTAATCTTGCCTTGCTTTTTCTCCATCCACTAGTCCATACGGAGTACTGGTCTCAGGTCGAGCAAGTCGATCTTGGTATGTGCTCTTGGCTTCCTAGGGTCCAGATGTGGACGGAATAGGTGTAAATGCGCTGGCACTAGCGCGTGATCGACTTGCCCAGCTTTGACTTTTTCCCAGAGATAGGAATGCTAAAGGAGAAATTTATAGAATCTAACTGGTTGTATTTAGCTGGAGGTTGCTATGTTTAGGTATGTCCATACTTGGCCAACGAATATGGCGAACAATTGTACTAAGGATGTTTATTGTACCTATGTAGTCAGTGGGACAGCATATGTGATCTTTTTTCGTATTATATATATCCCGAATATAGCATGGAAAGACGCCTGTAAGAGCAAAAGAACGGTTCAAGATGCTTCCGAAACGATTAAAAAGAATTGGTGAGCTGTAAAAGGCATGCTACAGGGTATTTGCCTGTGCTGAAACACAGCATGCTAGAACTCTACACTCCGCCCTTTCAGAAACGTTTGAGATCTCCACGAAGATCTATCTATCTAGGTGTCTATCTAAAGGGGATATGGATATGCCACGCAAGGAACCTCCCCCGCCCCCAAAACCAGCGCTGAGAAAGCAAACAAAAAAAGAAAGGCAACCTATGAGCCCTAACTTGATGATGACTATGCACAGTGAATGCAAAATAAGAATCAAGAAAGCAAAGTCAACGAAATAGAAATCATAAAGGGTCATGCGTGCCCATCTTGCAATCATGAGATGTAACGTAAAAAACCAGCTAAATCGCAGATGCTCCTTCCCATGATTTTGCTCCCCACCTCCCTCCTCTTTCTATTAACATGAAATCCGGCCGCTGACCCCCTATGTACCGATCCCCCCGGCCCCTCGCCTCTCTCCAACCTAAACCCCGCCCGATTGAGACAGAGTGCACATAAACCGACATCCCGGTAACCGAGGTCCAGCAGAGATCACCAAGTTCTCTACTTAGACCTGGTACACGGTGCGTAGTGTCTGGGCCACGGCTGGAGCTAGCTGGCCAAGGAAGTTGCTGAAGTCAGGGATCAAGGTCTTGTATCCCTGGAGGACCTATATTTATACATCTTATTAGTGGGATTTACTAACGACCAAGGGGAAATGATCTTACCTGCTGGAAAGACGCCTGGATATCCCGGTACTCTTCCTGTGCCAGCGAGCGGGCGGGGAACGAGGCAATTGCCCGGAAGTAGTCGAGTAGGCTCGACTCCATGGCCTGCGGGTTCTTCATCACCACCTGGTTGAATCCGAGGAAGGCAGAGGCCTTTTCGCGCGTGAAGTCAATCTTGTCCATTGACTTCAGGAAAGGTCCGGAACACTCGCTCAAATGGGGCGCAATCTGGTCCGCACAGCAGAATCCCAATCGTCCCAACGCCATCGCGGCGTTTTCGTTCACCGAATCGATGATTTCCTCGTTAGTGATAATCGTAAAGAGCCCTTGGTACAGTTGCTCCGCATAGGGCGAAAGCCCGGCGTTCTCGTGGACGGCGATTTCGCCGCACGACCAACAGGCGTTGTTCAAAACACTGAAGCCCGTATGACGATCGTCATCGCGAATCAGGTCCAAGTCAAGCTGCTTAATCAAAACCGGGATAAGGGTGGGAAGGAAGGGTTTCAAGTGAGGGAAGATGCTGATGGCGCAGTCTCCCAGCAAAGCGTAGGTGGATTGACGGACTTCATAGTTTTCATCCTGCATGCAGTAGCGCATGAGCTCGAAGAAAGATGGCTGTGAGGTACTCACGAGCTCGCCGCTCTTTTGTGGGTCGATGGCCTGAATGATTGAACTAAGAAGGTCAATGCTAGTAACAAGGAAGTCCTTGTCCGGCTCGTCAGCCGCAGGGTGTGTCGGTTGTATGGAAGCTTGCAAGTTTCCATAAATGATCTTTATGCAGCGCGCGAAGAGAGGCGGCGCGAATTGGGCAAAGGCATCGCCATAGGCTCCAGAGATATATCCGAGGCATTCAAGCAACGGGAAGAGCTCTCGGGAATCATCAGAAATGTAGTTATAGCGGCCGATGAGGGCAGGCATCAAGATCTCGATTAGATGTGGCCTTGCCAGCTCGCTCATAACACATTCGGCGAGCGTCTGCACGCAATCATAAAGGATGTACATGTTGCGGTCCTTGTACTTATTGAAGCACGCCACAAACTGGCGCAAGATAGGTTCACAGTAGGGCGCCAGGTTATCCTCCGCCTTCTCCTCCAGGCTAGCGAACGCTGACGCAGCAGCTTCTTGAACCTTCTTGTTGTTGTCCAACATGCGATGAAGTATACCTTCCATCATGGGCTCGAAGAATTGGGCTTTTTGAGCTGGGTCGCGGAGATGAGCTGCCCAACCGGAATAACGGGCCAAGCACCAGCAAGTGATTTGTCGCACAACAGGCTGGTTATCGTTGAGGAGTGAGATGAGATAAGGGACCAATTCTGGGAGATGGGGAGTGATTGCATCCATACAGCCATCCGCCACTGCACCTAGTGTAAGAACAGCGGCCTCTCGGTTCGGCCACTGCTCGTGGCGCAGAGTTTCCGTCAGATACGGCAGAAGGATTTCAAAGACAGGACGGTGGTAAACTGTAGAGAAAATATCGAGCGCAGCAGCAGAGCACTTGCGCAAAGTCCAGTTACCCGAGGGATCATCTCCGAATTCCGAGTCCTCAATTTCACCTTCACTTAAGTCATCGTCATCCTCTGTCTGTTGCTCGAGCGCGCGGGAGGATTCCGGCTGTTCACCGGGCTTGGACACATTCAGACGGTCACCCTTCGATTTCGCAAACTGTGGCTTTAGATCCTCAGCGCGGTCCTCGGTCTCGGCATCATCTTGCTCGTCCATTAGTCGAGCCACTTCGTCCTCATCGTAGATCATGTTTTGTAGAAGAACGGGGATGATCTTGTGCATGTATGGAGCCAATTCGGCCTGCAATCGCTCTTGCTCTCCAGCACCAATCCAAAATTCGGCCGCGTCAAGTGCAAGCTCTGGGTCGTCCTGGGATTGCTGCTGCATGATGATGTAGTTGACCAATCCTTCCATATGCGGGGCCAACTTTTCCGGCGCAGTCTCCACGAGTTGGGAGAACGACTGGCACACCATTTGTCGGACTGTTGTGCTTTCATCACCGGCAATTCTGAATAACTGCGAAAGAAATTGGTCGAGCGAGTTCACCAATGCCTGGGGTCTGGATGGCAAGAAAACGTGGATGGCGTTGAGAGCAGCAATCTTAATGCGCGAACTCTCCACCGAAGTGAACTGCAGCAAGCTGGGGATGATGATGTCCAAGGGACGTTGGCCCTGGTAGTCACGGTCCAAAACCTTCCGGTTGTCCTCACAGACCTTGCACAACGCATCCATTGCAGCTTCCCTAGCCGACATGGGAACATCCCCGTTGGAATTAGCGACAGTAGTCAACAGCTCATTGACAATCTCAGGCCAGGCCAAGAGGCCTCCGTGAAGCACCATCGCAGTGATAACGTTACCGGCAGCTCTCGAGACATTGCGGTCGGTGTCGCGAAGTGTCAACAGAGCCGCGGATTTGATGAAAGCCAGGCTTTGAGGGGAGATCGTGCTGTAAGCAAGGGCAATCTTTGTCTTGACGTTTACGGCGGCGGCAAATCGAACAGTCGGGGATTCATTCTCGTTAATTCCTGCCAGGGGAGCAGCTTGCGGGTTGGAAAAGATGTAGGTGATGTAATTGACGTAATCAGGAGAAGAGGTCGCTTGTGCGAGCATCTATTCACAAAAAAATAATCCAAGGTTAGTTTCCATCTTGGGGGTGTATGTGCGGCGACCGCAGTCGAAAGGAAGCTCAATAGGACCAAAAAAAAGGAAGACAGTACCTGTTCAGCCTGTGCTCGGGCTGGAAGGTTATTTCCATTGAGCGAATCGCGAAGGTAGCCAGCCAGCTGCCTCAATGGCTCTTGCTGAGGTTGCCAATTCATCTTGTCCTGGTAAAGAGACTCGATGCGACAGAAGTCGAAAGTGCGAGTAGCGCAGGAGCCCCGCCGAAAATGTGGGAACGGGCCCCCTTCGTTTCCCCAGATCAAGGAAACAAGGCCGAAATCTCCGATCCGCTAAAGCAGATCCAGGAATGAGACGGGAAGTAATTGGCCAAAGTAAATTTGCATGAATAAGGAATCAAATAAAGTTGTTGGAGACGACCTCAGACTGAGGGGTGTATGTGCTGCGGGCAGAAAAAAGAGACTGCTGAAGATGGTAGGCGGTCAGTTTCTTGGGAGTAGACTGGAAGTCCAAGAAGGCGGAGATGCAAAGAAAAGATAGTCTGCATTTCACAGTATATTTATCTGTGAAATATAAGCCTGAGAATGGGAGCGGATGGTTCTGAGTGTTGGGTGAAGCTGAAGTCGAGGCTGAGGTTGACATGTAGAGAAAAGTCGCGACGGGACGAAACCGCCGGGGGTCCAACGCAAAAGCATTCCAAATATACATGAGAGTGACTTGGTCCATATCCTATCTCTTCAAAGTTGGGATGGGTTTATTTGTCTAAAATACTATAGCATCATTTATGGAAGTTCTTAATCCTAGAAGACACACCCAATAGTATCAATATGATGCCAAACATTATATGCAAAAGGACAAAGAAATATCAGTGATGCAAGAGCCAAGTTATAACATGAGAGTGAAAGGTATGTAAATGCAAGAGCAATCATGCAACTCCCTCAATATCACAGGTCAAATCACGCCCAAACCATCTTCTTCAGATCATAAACCAGATATTCCAACCACCCAGTTCTCTTCTTAGCATCCGCCAAAGAGATGATATCAGACTGTTCAACCACAGAGACCGCCTCAACATCACGACCTTGACCCGCAAGCATCGCGCGCTCGATATCCAAACAGACCGAGCGGATGCGATCCGTCTCTCGAACAGTTCCAGCGCTGGGCCCAAGCCGCGGACTAGCCGCCGGGTTCGACAGCGGCAGGCCTTTGAATGCGACGAACCGCGTCGTCGCACGCTTGCTACCCCGTAGCCAGGAAACAAGGTCCCATTCACTGTTGGCGCTGGTGGTAGTCTCGAGCGTATTGAGATCGACATCGCTCTGCAGGGACCGGGTATTCACACGGAGGGTGTTTGTGTCGCCGTCGCGGTAGACTATGACGAGACCGACGTTCGTCGCCTCGTCGGCTTGGCTATCTGTCAATATGGATGTGATGTATGTACCGTAATGGATGCGCGAGATGGAGCGGAGGTCGATGCGCTCGAAAGACAGGACTTTGTCAGTCTCCCAGTCGAAGCGACAGCTGTAGACTGCGGCATCAGTTAGGAGAAGGACTGATTCCTCAAAGGGCAGGGTGCGAAGGGTGTTGGGTTGGCGGGGGGTCAGCATGGTCCAGCCGCCTAGGAATTCTTCAGAGGGGCTACTAATAACGATATTGCAGCTTGTGTCAATGGCGTTCTGGCGGAGCTTCTGTACTGAGATTCCTGGATCGGTGGTCTGGAGCTGGATGGCGAACTCGTCGAATACGTGGGTTGAGACGTTGCCTAGGAGGTAGTCGATACATGCTTGAGAAAAGAAGTCGTTTACAATGTTGTTGTAGTAACGGGAGAGTGTCAACCCAAGGTCGTTGAGAGCGCCTCTATAGTCTCGCTTGCGTGTACGGGTGTAATCTCCCTTTAGAGCTGCGGTTGATGAATACTGCTTGGAGATGGCATCGCCGTTATCTGCCCAGAGCGTATTGAACCATTGGGTAGAAGAGTCACCACCAATATCAATGTCAATGCCTTCATGTTCCAGTTGACGCTCGAGGGCCCATTGGCCGAATGCACACTGGGCAACACCAGTGCGGTCGAGACAATCCATACAATTGGTTCTGATGATGCCCTTTTGGGTCTGTAGGATATCATTGTCTGCGATGATGGTGTAACAGAACTCATTCAACGTATCTTTCAGTCGCTCGACCAGGCGAGATACGTTTTCAAATTTCATGCCCCGGCACTCGCGATGGAAGTCAAACCATTCAAGTTGCAATGGCTTGCCATCGATCCCACCGGCGGCATTGAACGATTCGGTATATCGCTCATATTGCTCTCCTAGCTTCAATTCACCGGCTAGCTTGTCAATAAGAGAGACAGCCTGAACATTTCCATACCGTCGACTGAACTCTCGGAAGTGTCTACTGAAGGCAAGGAGATTCGTCTCCGCAGAGTGCTGTAGTACTGGAACTGGCTTCAAGGCATATGGCGTCTGAGAGAAATAAAGAGGAATGGAACCCCGGACCTGCAAATATGTATAGGCAGGGTGAGACGGAGTCCACTCCGGAGCCGAGAGAATCTGCTCGGTTTCCACTGTGTTGGCTGCGTTGCCCTCATCATCGACACCACGACGCAGGTAACGAAGACCTGGTCGCTTAACAGAGCGTCGAGAAATCAGAGTCAAAAGATAATCACGTTTGCTGGCATTAGCCCCAACAGCTTCGGCCTCGTGTTTTTCGCCGAGAATTCGGCCTTCTGCGAGTTCCACTGAGTCCTTCGAACATTGTTTCCTTTCAGCACCAGCGATTGTGAATTCTCGTTGGCCGACAAAGCCTTGGATTAAGGGCAGAACAAGGCCATGGGCCCCATGGTCAATGAATTTGTCCATCAAATGTCTATTCCAAAAATACTACTGACGAGTCAGCAACCGAAGCTTCACAGAGAACATACCACGACCCCACAGCCCACACATACCAATGGATCCACAACTTTGTGGAGGGGAAGCTGATCTTTCCGAGCTTCCTGCGTATGTAAAGACCGTGTGAGATCATAGTCATACGCAAAGAAAAAATTATGGGACGCAAACAAGAGTTTCGTGTAGCGAAGCAGTTTCGGTAGCAATTGCGCAGCCTGGCCAGATTTAGGCCTATCAAACTCGCTCTGAGCCGCCGCCTCTTCAGGGAGAGCCTCATCTAGGGCTTCAAGCTTTGTTTCGCTGGCATCGCCCGAAAGGCTAGAAGCTTCGTCAAAGGGAGACTCTGACACATCCTGCTCTAAAGCTCCGGGCCTGGGCAAGCCCAGGTTTTTGCGCGATAGCCAATTGGCTGCGAATCCACCAAAGGGGACTTTCTTCGCGATCACGTCTTCTGCGATACTGCCGATGCTGGTCCCACGGACATGAGATATATTGCGAGTAGGTGATGCAGGCACGCTGCCGATCTCCGCCTCCGCCTCGGCTCTGTCGGTTTCGTTATCGGGAAGGTCATCTTCGTCGGAGGACGATTCGATGCTGACTTCCGCCTGTGAGGATTCTTTCCTGGCTTGTGTGATTGCGCGGGAAGCATCTGCTTGGGATGAGACGGGAATGATCGCGACGTTGGTGACGGCGTAGATGGGGCGGCCTCGAATCTGCGCTACTTGTTGGCGCTGTGTGATGGAAACGAGAAATGAGCATGAAGCGACAGATAAGAGACCTGTAGCAGCAATGCCCTGGGATTAGTTTCTTATTTTAATTTCCGCTCGGTTCGTCAACATACCTACGAGACCGTATGTCTCCAGGGCGTCCTTTCCGTCGAGGGGCTCCGAGGCGCCAGCGGGCAACGCAGTGATTTTGTTCGTCTTATAGTCGATGCGGATGGATGAAGCCTCGTTGTTGTTACCGGCGCTATGCCGTGATCCGCTGGCCTGAGCATGTAGAATCAGGCCGTCGACTGTAGCGACGATGGCTAATTTGCGCAATAAAGCGGGCATCGCGCAAGTTCCCCGCGTTCGAAGGGAACAAGATCACACAGCTACCCCAAGGTTGACGTCTATAGACCCCTCGCAAAGGCAGTCAAGGACAGGCATTCAATAGAGAATTTAGAGATGTTGGAATTGAAATTGAAGAAGCAAGAATCTCGGATGGGCATGTTCCATAAACAGCTGACCT